CCTCAGTCCAGCATTTCTAGCGCCGTCTTAGTAATGGAGTGATTCAATTCCGATTCAATTTGAATCGTATCGTAAGGAAATCTTCTCAATGATTTCTATTTTGCCAAATTATGGGTGGTGACCAGAAACTTCCCTCGAAAAAGCTCATGTGGAGGACGAATACGAGTGACCCACCCAGGGTGGGACAACTGTGAGAATCTCGGAAAACTTTACAAGCAGTCCCACGTTCAACTGGATGTCACAAGTTGTGGCCCACAACTGTCGGTTGATCAAATCAACCAATACTTAATCAACTTGATGGCACAAAATTCCCTCGCCACCAAGTTCCCAGAATCAATCTGGATCCAATCTGGCAGTGTGGAGCTGCAACGATTATAATGATCATCATGACAATGATTGTCATTGAGTCAATGATGAGATATGAGGTCAATAAAATAGAAGTTTTCGCTATGAAATAATTGACGTCTCGGGCAGTTACTATTGCAGACTCCTAGACTAGGAGTCCTAGTCTGCCATCTCACCATGCCATATTAGGTCACATAGCTGTTGGCTTGGCTTTTTGAAGTGTGGTTGTATTGGACCACTACTCAACGAAGGAACTTATAGAACTGACTCAGTTCCATAAGTTGCTTTCCAGTTCAGCTGAGTAGCGATGTGTCAATTTCGCTGCTCAGCAACATCTCTTACGAAAGTCGAACATATCGGGTTGTTTTTGGGACTACCCGAGAAAGTTACCAATATGCGCACTCGACGGATGAATCTAATTAGAATTAATTTAGGCAGCAGGGAGAGTTTTTTCCAGGAATTGTGCACCATGTCGTCGAATAATGAACATCTCGAGAAGTAGATTCACTACACTGTTGCGTACTTGGGATCTCAAGATTACCAAGAGAGGTAAATACAAAGGAATGAGTATGGATACAAACTGTGTGAGCTAAGGTAGGAAAGAAGGTGTAGCAACACGGTTTCCTCCTGCACAGTCTCCTCATTGGAAGCTATCAAGGACGGACTCTCGTGCAATCCAACATCGCTTCCTCTACTAGAACTCGAATCCTTATCTATCTGATAATCTGAGTCATAGTGACGGAATCGACCGAAGATTAAGATCCAAATGAGAACTCCTGAAGTACGTGAGATACTCGGAATGTATCGAGCTCCAAAGATACGGACTTCGCAACGCCATAGATTAGAATCGAACATCGGACGCGTCACAGACATATCTTGTAATCTCACAAGTTCTTCACTATTTCTCGATAAGTCTGATAATGAGTATACGAAAGAGGAAAGGGAGACGGGATCAATCAGGAATCCTCGTCTGAATGATTGACAACTATAGTAGTGTTGCCGAGCCTGGAGAGATCATTCTCACCCAAGAGAGACAACAATTGTGTGCATACATCGCATACACTCAAAACTGTTTCCACCAATTTCTGAGATTGTCCTCTGAAAGACAGAAAGTTAAAAAAAAAGGTTAAAATGGATATGATCGGAGCAACTGTAGCAATTATGGGCACCTTCTTTCACAAAATGAGATATGGTATCGTCGAAAACCCGCTAAATATAATTTTCATTCTAGAAGCCGCCTTGTGCTGCGCCACCACTGTGGATTTTGCCGTTGCTCCTCCAATACTTCGACTCGAAGTCTTCGAAAGGATTACACAGCATACTCACATGTCGGGACTTTATTCTTAGGATTATTCCGATCAATTTTTGTGATTAGACAGTCAGTCGTGTCAGGACATCGGTGAGGCGTCTGAAAATCGAAACTGAATACTCTCAACCAACAATAGAGTGAGCTCCACTGAGTGAGAATGAGAACTCAGAATGCTGTGAATCGTATGTAAAACATCTCCCCTTCTCTAGCTCACCGTCTTGCATGAAATTAGACATGCTCTGGCCGGGGCACAGAAGGTCGGCATTCCACTCGCCTTTTCGGGTTTAGGACAGTCGCTATCACTCTTGCATTCGGCTGTGCAGATCACAAAGCGTAGTGCGGTCCCATCAAGATTCTGAAATGGGCACGCGTAACAGAGACTCCACTAACTTGAACAAACGAATAATAGTGAGATCCAACTCACGAGGTTATAGAAAAGGCCGAGGCCTGGGAGGCAAGTGCAGCCTTCGACATGGTCTTTCACCCACTTACATGTTCCGCGAGGCTTGCTGTACGTACCTGCTAACAACATTCCAATGATGACTGTTGCAAGACGAAAGTTGATACCCGGAGGCGCCGCCACGGAATAGTTCCCGTCTCCGAAGGCCTGCTCTAGTACAACAGCCACGACGAGGATTAGATACATTTTGGACAGCTACCAAAAATATTCCTGGGAAACTGAATCGATCACGCTGTTCAGGCACGTATCGGCATTTCTCTACTACGGAGCGAGCCTGCGGCGAGTGAATCGATAACATCATAGGAATAGGCGCACGAGTCTTGCCCCCCGAAGCAATAGGGAGCCCCCCTCAATCAACGGTGATTGGTCCGAGAGCAATGCTCTCTCGTAGCAGTCATTGTAGCTCCGGAACTTCTAGTTTCACCAGAGATAGGTCACCGTTAATAGATGCTGTAATCAACAGGCAGAGTAGTAGAGACATGAGGGAAAAAGGGGCAATGATCAATGGCCGCCATTGAATGGCGTGACGCCCTTCTCCTTGGAGACAGCACGCACGTCATCGCGTGGAGTCACCGATAGCAAGTTTGGTGGAGAAGTAAAGACATACAACTGATAGCATTGTCGTGTTGACTCAACAAGATACTATTTATTGTCCCTTGGATCTAGGAGTGACAGTCATCAGGGTCGAAATGCATTCTGGTGACTCCCCAGTAGTAGGGTTTCGCCATCACACTATCCTCTCAGAACCGCTGCGATAGACAATCTTATCGGAGACTCTGCGACGCAGAGGACTCACACACCGCACAGTCTGCGGATCCCGCACACTATGCGGCACACAGACGGGCAACATACGGAAGGGATCCCAACGCGTTGCAGTGGGCTCGTCATGGTGAGCCAAGAAACGTCGCCTGTCTAGGTGGTGGGGTCTATACCCAACAAAAATCCATGGCGGCCGCGCCATGGATCCTCGCCATGGATCCTACGTGGGATCCTCCAGTGAGGAGGATCCCACGGTAGCCTCAGACCGTGACGCGCCGCGAGCAACCTATCCGGATTCTTGCGTGTGAAATCGATTTTATGAACGAGCCTAAGGAATTTCCCGAAACGTACTAACAAGGTAGTCACAAACCTAGAAGTCGCCTTCATCAATTATCACCTGGAAGCCGTTCATGCTCTACATTCCGCAGAGCCTGAGCAGCATTCCAACTGTGGGAGGCGACGGGCCATGACGGCGCACTTCCGGTAGGGGCGGCGGCGGGGGCGACATCCCCCCTAAAGCTGACCGTGGACCCCCATGCTAGGGGGGGCGGAATAGGCTAGGCATGGGTGATGACATCATCTACACCTAACCATTTTTGCGACTCACCGTGATGTTTATTATCAATGGACCATTGGCAATAGTGAATAGTATCTGCGCCCCGTAGACCATGAGTAACTCGCGTGCCAATCACCTCCCGTACACGCGCCCACGCGTGACGCGTCACACCCTTGTAAACTCAGGACCTCGGCCATTCTATTGAACCGCGAAGTCTATTCTAGAGAAACACGACCATAGTCTAATCGCAGGTGCAATTTATAATTTATAAATTGCATATGCCATGGAACCATTCCTCAAAAGGACTCGACCCACGGAGTCAGCTTACCCAAGCGATATATCCACTAGTAAAGAAGATGGCCGAAAGTCAGAGCAAGAAAATTTTCCATCAACAGCCGTCCTCCGTCACTGCTGGAAACTCCAGCAGTGACTGAGGACGAGCTGGAGCTTTCCAGCCTGGGAACCTGCGAATGGAGGCAGCCACCCAGCTGTTATTGGAAGCGAAGCTCTTGATGAAGAGCTATGTTGTCAGTCAGAGCCTCCCAAAGCGATGCGACCGAAGGGTTCGACCCTGCGTCAAGATTTCAGTTGGCTAGAGATTGTCACCGCGCCTGGACAGTCAGTTACAAATGTCGATATTGCGCGAATACGCCAGT